ATAAGGAAACCTGATGACTGAGAGCCATGGCTTGGATGTTGACAATAAATCACATCCTAGACTGCTGACGTTAATTAACAGAATGGCTTGGGATACACAGCAGGGTTGTTGCTGACTTTCATGCAGTCCTTGCAACCCAAAAATATCAGGCTCAGTCATTGAGAGTTAATGACATACATGATCCAGTATTTTAGGATTAATCATTTTTCTGTAGACCCCAATAAAAAATCATCCCATCTGGAGGATACACATTTGTTTTGCTTTTGGTAAAGGTTTGTAATAGCTTAAAGAACCAAAAATCGTTGACCGTTATCTTGATTAAGCAAAAATCTATTTTTATACATACACCAGTACCTTAAATTAGACCTTAAATTTTAGCCTCAGAGACTTCTCTAGCAAACTCTAAACTAAAGCCAACTCAATCATACACTTATGAAATTATAAGGTATAGAGCTTAATTTGTATTTCAAAGCAACCTTTACAAAATCCAAGTTTAACGGACATTGTTTTTAGTAAAATACTCTAGCAACATTAACCTTAAAAGAAGACCCAGAAAGAAAAGTAAATTAAACTATCCCTTTTTACAATAGCAATCTACAAGAACACATGGGTTAATAAACATAATTATTAAAGAGTTGACCCTAAATTACACTCATGATCAAACAAAACAGATTAAGATTGTTGTCCACAAATTTTCTTTAGTCCTAAGGCAGAGGAGAGTTATTTATACCTGGCTGGGATAAGACCATTAGATAACTTTTGTGACAACAGCTGTGTACGTTAACTTCATAAAAGTAGTTTCAAACCATCCTAAAAAATAACTGCATACACACAGAGAGATGTTTTGATCTAGGTGTGCCAAAAATGTCCATTTAAGCATGGACAAATGAGCTCAAAGAGTAAAAATTAATTCAGGGACCACAAGTATGGTGGTAGGAGACAAAGACATACACAAACACATAATGACACACAAAACAATTCCATTAATTTGAGTGCACTCTTACACAAATCATCCCTTTGTCATTATTTTTAGTAGTGGATAAGTCAGGTAGATTGTTAAGCAGTTTACAAGGGATTTTTAACAAACATGCTATTTTTTGTCTAGTCCTTGGGAGATTAATGTATTTAAAAAACACATATAAAGTTATATTAACTTAGAGAATTTTAGCCACAAGTTGGTCATCATTTTCCTTAAGGGATGACAAGATGGCATCACCCACGAGTCTCCCATCCCTAGGGACTGGCAAGATTGCATTGAACTCATGGTGGCTCCATTATGGAGACAGCATTTCCTGTGACCACACGGTCTCTCCAAACGTGATTCTGAAATGGAATATAAAGACATGTCACATGCAACATACACCCCCAAATAGCCATCTGTTATAAGAGTAAAAGACATCTCCCCCTGAGAGGCAGATGTTACTGTCCATAGGAGTTAGTGTTGTAGACATTAAGGCACTTCAGGTAACATTTTGGGGCAAAGAACTGCAAGCATTTAGGAATCCGGGCGAGTAGTCAGTACACTGACTTCCCTCACACTGGCTGTGAAGAGAGAAGAGGAAAAGGAGGGAGGAATCTGCCCTAAGGAGTGGGGGGGACTCCTGAGATCTGAGAGCCATCCCCCTGAGTCATGCATGTGCAGGTGCAAATCCTTTAGATTTGGCTTACAACAGCCATCTCTGTGAGAAAGTGGTAGGGTATCTTCTTGTCTTTGAGTCAAGTGCTGTCCCAAAGGCCCTCTGCAAACCTCTGCATCAGGTTCTTGGATGGAGTGCTGATTCTGAATGCTAACGTAATTATTATCCTAATGAGAGACCAAACAATCAAAGCAAACTAAGGTGGGATTTGAACTTATGGCCTCACACTTCCTAAGCAGGTGCTCTATCACTTGAACTGCTCTGCCAGCCCTTGTTATCTTCCCTCAAGAAAGGAGACTTAGAGACTATCTTTAGGATGTGATAACTAACCCAAAAGCCCCATCAGTGAGGGCCGCCAGTCACTTATTGGTGAACTGGGCTGGTATGAGGCCCATACCACTTGGGGTAGGTGTTTCTGTGACCCTTGCAGGCTGTAGGGACAGGGAAAGCACAAGTGAGAGACAGGACTGGATGCTTGGGAAATAGAGGCACAGCAGGCAAGTGAGTGGTGGGGAAGTTCCCTACAGAGGTGCAGCCCTCCCACTAATACTGGGGAGGAAGACAGGCACAGACTGCTGGAGTTCAAAGGTAAGAGGACTTTGGCTTGAGGCCTGGGTTGGCAACTGCCATGGCCAGTGTCTAGGGCCTCACAGGTGGTCCTGGCCACCCTCTCTGCTTGGGCTGGTTGGCAATCGTGCAACCTGTGGCTCTTGCCATACCTGTGGCTCTGTCCTCCCCAGCTGAATGGCTACCTGGGTACAGCAGCTGTGGTAGGCAGAGCCCCAGGCACATGGGCCCTGCATGTCTTGTGCCTGATGTGGGTTTGCTAATGCAGTGCATCCCAGCATCTCCCAGCAGCAAGTTCTGGTCAAGGTCTTGGTGTGGCACCAGATACCATTCCCAGAGGGGGATGTGGGACTCAGTGACAATCATCCCAGCATGAGGGTCCCACGACCCTAAAGCCATGGATGGTGCCTGGCTCTAACGTATCGGGTGGAGGGACACAGGGCCAGAGGACGGGGAGGGATGGGTTGGAAGGAAAGAAGTCAATAAAAATAACATCTTGAGGTCTCACACTTTAACTCCTGGCTGGCTCGCCACATGTTAACAACAATGATGCAGTCTGTGATCAGATTTCCTAATTCTTTGTGTCCCACATGAAAAATTTCATGGAAGGGCACAAGGGTGTAAAGGAGTTTATTAAAAGTTAGGGAAGGGAATTGTTAAAGGGTCATGCATGGTAGGACCAGGTGGAAGCTGGGAACCAGGGAGTTTTTTTTTCTTCCCTTCCCTCCATGTGCTTTTAAATCTTATGCTAATCTATGCGAAGGAAAAAATCTGGTGATTCTTAACTGATAATTGATGAGTGGGTAGGGGCATGGGTGGTCCCTGGTTCAGGTGAGGTGGTTTTAATTGTCCTTTAGGTGAGGGTGAATAACCTTCACACGTTTGCAACTGAAAAGAAGGCTCAGGGAAAGAGTGGAATGATCAATCTGAAACACAGTTAGTCATAATGTTTATAAGAGTCCCAAAATTTTCCTAATTCTAGGCTGCCTCACCTTATTTGCATAATGGATTGCCATCACTAGTGACCTGAGGGACAGAGCCTTGCTAAAATCTTTAATCCACTGAGTTGATGTTGGTACAGGCTGAGAGACAGGGGATTGTTTCAGTGTTCTGCATGTGGACATCAGTTTCCCTCCCACGATCGCTGTCATTTCTCAACGTATGCTTTTGTCACCCTTGTTGAGAATCCTTGGCTACAGATGTGTGGTTTATTTCTTGGACCTCTATGCTGTTTCAGCAGTCTATATGTCTACTGTCATGCCAGTACCATCTGTTTTGGCTATGCTAGCCTATAGTATTTCTTAAAATCAGGTATTGTGATATCTCCAGCTTTGTTCTTTTTGCTCAAAATTGCTTTGGCTATTTGAGGGTTTTAGTGCTTCAATATGACTTTAAGAATTATTTGTTCTAGTTCTGTAAAGAATGTGATTTCTGCTGGGTGCCAGTGGCTCACTCCTGTAATTCCAGCTACTTATGAGGCAGAGATCAGGAGGATCACCGTTTGCTGCCAGCTGGCGGGGTGGGGGGGGTAAAGTTCGTGAGACCCTATCTTGAAAAAACCTATCACAAAAATGGGCTGGTGGAGTGGCTCAAAGTGTACACTCTGAGTTCAAACCCCAGTATTCCAAAAATAAATTTAAATTAAAAAATTAAGAGGTTATTTGCAGTTTTTCTTTTTCCTGACTCACTTGGTAGAGAAGCAATTTTTATGGCATGCTGAAATTTTTTATTACTGCTTAAGGTTTTTGACTAAGGCATAAAGATGGTTTAAAAGATCAGAACATTTCCATCACGCTAAGCGTTTGAAGTCACGCAAACCTAAACGTTCACTTCCAGGAAGTGTGACTTCATGGAGTCTAGGCTGCCGAAGAGCTGCTGTAAGCTGCAAACCCACTATCTGGAAAGTTTAAATCTTTTCCTCTCGTGGATGAAATACCTTCAGAAAAAATGTTCAAGGGGACTTTTCCCTGTTTCCATTTCAATTGCTCAATATCTTAACATACTGGAAAGTCTTAAATTTAAACCAGGCAGAGGAAAGACAACGGAGAAGGAGAGAGCTAACCCCTATACTTACAGTTTAACACTCACCCTTCCCCATTGATAGAGAAGAGAACACTCGTGAAAATGGACCATAATATCGTCCACCACAGTCTTGTAGCAGAACCTTCTTTGCATGGCTTAGAATTTTGGGGTTCCATTTTGTTTCCCATGGATTGAATTTACCTAAGCTCCATCAGGGAGTCTTCTGGGATTGGACAAAGGTGTGGCTTTGACAAGTGGACCTGACTTGACTTGTACTTTTCCTTGGTGGAGGAGGGCCTTTGTGCAAAGCTGTGGTTCTGACTTCTGTGACTACTTCTTGTATCAGGCTGGTATGCAGGAGATCCTCCCCTTCATAACCTGATGCAATTTTTTCCCTAAATTTAACTTGGCTAGGCCTTGATAAAAGCAATTCCATTTTGGTTGGCAGCTTTCATGGCTCCCAATAGCTCAGTAGGAGTGGTGCTGTCCTAGGAGAGCGGTGGCACTCAACAGGACTGGCTGGAGACAGGTCAGTGGTCACATTTGTTATTCCTCCTAATTGTCGAGTCCAAGTGAACGGCACTAGTGTTTCATTTAGATGAGAGGATCAAGGCTTAGGATGGGAGGGGAGGGGAGAACACAACCAGTCTGACTCCAGAGCCTGGACTTGGAACACATATGCTATGCACGCCATTTTGTGCTGTAGGGCGTGTTATCGCGCCACAAGCTTGTGCACAAACATGCAAGCAAGGTTTGCTGTTGATTCATTTTATTCAGAAGAGACACAAGGAACTTGGGTGGGGACAGCAGGGCTCTTCTACTGCACTAGGAAGGAGAGGAGAGGAGTGATTCCTGGGAAGTTGGTTGGAGTAGGGAGAGAAGGAATTAGAGGAGACTCAACATGGAATGGCAAGGTGTCACAGAAGAGGGCCCCTCAGCAACGGGGTGCCTGCCCATGGCACAGCAGATTGCTATAGAACTGGTACTTCACACTGTAGCTCTTCTTGTTTCGAGCAAAACACTCGGCAGCAGCTTTATCGCATTGGCACAGCTGACTCCTGCAGGAGTCCTGGTTTGCTGAAGAAGAAAATAAACACAGGAAGGGGTGGTTAGTGTTCTAGCGTTTCCTGAAGGATAGGAGACTTAGCCATGGGCTCCAGGTGTTTCTAGTCTGAGACAGTGCCTGGTTCCAGGTATTTCTGGCTGATGGAGGCGGGTGAGCAGATTTCCCTCCTTGAGTAGCTGACTCCCATCTGATGACAGCACAAAGCCACCAAGCATGGAACTGTCAGAGGTGCTGCTATCTGTCACCATCTCTTCCCTCATCCCCACCCCTGGAGCTGGAGGTGGAACACAGGCCCTTTCACTTCCTAGGCAAGCACTTCCTTCCCTCTTCCTTCTTGCTAACAGCCCTGCCCAGATGGCAGAATTCCAGCCCAAGAGAGCTGGGTATAAATCCTGATTGGTGCCAACTGTGGTCCTTCCTTTCTCCTTGGAAATGATTGATCTTTGGGTAGCATGTGGCTTTGTTCTGGCCAATGAGCTACAAGGGAATAGAGGTAGGCTGTGGCAAAACCTCCATAGAGCTTAGAATGTGTCAACTGTTGATGGCACAAGTGTGGATTCTGCAATATGGCACAGGTGAGAAATGGTGCTGATGGTGTGGGGGTCTCAGCCCTGGCACTGCCTTCATGCAGGGCTCTTATTGGGGCAGAGTCAGGCATTGCCATTAACCATACCACTGTTTGTTGGGCATCTTGGGGTCCAGGATGTAAAGCCTGCTAAGATACCTGCCCCTAGGGAGAGACCACTGTAGCAAGCAATAATCTCTAATCTTAAAGGACTTGGGCTATGGGTAGAGACCATGCTGTCTTCAGATCCCACCAGGGGAGACTGTCTGGGTAAGACACTTCCAGTGACCACCCATCTCCCTTGTCCCTGCAGCTTCAAGCTTTCACCATAGTTGGCTCTACTTCCTGTCTCTACTTCCCTTTCCCTCCTGCCCAGCCAGCTCTAATCTGACTTTGACCTCACAACACTCCATCAACACCTCCCTCTGAAGTCCTTGTGGCCCTCCTGCCTCTCAGTCCTCATCACAGTGGCCATTGTCAAGCATCTCCTCCTTCACAGACCCTTGACCTTGTCATTCAGTGTTCTGGCATTCTGTCCAACTCTCTGGTTTCCTAGCCTGTAGCCACCAAAAGAGTGAGCACACAAAACTGCCCCCAGGCTAGACCCTTCCTGAGCTGCATGCAGCTCACACATCCAGCTGCATGTTCCCACCCTCAAGGCATTCTGGGGCCCCTCAACCTGCATTTATACTAGTGAGAACTGCCCCTCTGGCATCCCCCAGACCTCCTCCTGTGATGTTTGCCTCACTTGTACCAACCACACAGTAACAGACCACCCAACAGCCCATTAGCCCCATGTCTCCACCATGGTCATCCCCATTGATTGTCCTCAAATGTGTCCTGACCACAGCAGTTAATACAGGGCTGTTGCTCTCTCTTGTTGGCATTTTGGCAGTAGCCTGCTCTCTGGTTCCCCTTCCATCCTGTCCCTGATCCTGCAGCCAGGGTGGTACCTCCTGTCATTCCTTTGCTAAATAACTCCCTATTGCTTTAGGACAAAACCCAGATCCTGATCAGAGAGTCCACACTTTATCTGCCGGTCCTTGTCTCACCACTATGACACCTTGCATTACCACGGGCCAACATGGATGGTCTGCAGTTCCCTTTGGTCCCTTATTCATGCCTGTCCTCTTCTGGGGGTGTCCCCAACTCTCTTCTTCCCTGTCTCTGCACAGCCTATAGGACTCAGTTTAGATGGCACCACTTGCAGGAGCGCGCTGAGCCTTACTCGGGCTGTGTTAATGGCCCGTCTCTTTGCTTACTTCCTACTGGACTCTTCCACCTGTGTCCTCATTTTCCTAGCCTGCAACTCAGCTGGACCTCTCCACCAGGCAGGGACGATGTCCATGTGTCTCTGGCACCCAGCACAGCGCCCTGTACAGTGTCAATCAGCAAATGCATGAGAAACCCCATGGTGTACATGAAGGCTCTTTCTTACCAGCACAGATGATTTTACCCCCTCGGTAGGTAAATTTGTACTTCAAAATTTCGTGCCGCACCCACGTTTCTCCAGACGCCGGTAGCAACAGTCATGGGTGACACAGCACCTGGTAGGAAGACATCTCATTGCCACTGTCTTTCCACAGCTGCAGGGGACCTAGTGCCCCATCATCTCCCCACCCTTACCTTGGGAAAAGACTCAATGATTCTATAATGAACTAGGGCAGAGTTGCAACATGGTTGCTGTTTTTAGAGCTGGGTCCTCCTGGGACCATTGAGCCAATGGGACTGGACTTGCAGCGCCCAGTCCCACCGTGGCCAGAGGGAGTGTGGGGTGGCCTCACCGATCTGTTGCATCCTTGGGGGATCCTTTGCCACCCAGGCCACAGTGGCAACCATAGAAGGCGTAACTGACTTCAGCTCTTTTTCCCGTCTTCAACAGGATCATCGCCCAGAAATTGTTAAGACTCCCCTGGGCCTCGATTAAGACTGAAAATAAATCAGAAATGGCCTGGTGATGGGGTGGCATCTTGTGGCCTTCCTCTCTGCCTCTGTCTGCTGTTTTCCCTCTCCCAGATGGCTTCTCTCCCCCTTGCACTGACAGACAGCTACGGCAATGGCATGGAAAACAGGGGGAAGGGCTGCCTCCTTCCCTCAGATGCTCCTGGGCTCAGGGTTTGGGTCAGCTCTTACCAAAGGCCGCGATCACCGCCAGCAGCAGCAGGGACCTCATGCTGATGGTTCTGCTGAGGGGAGAGTGAGGATAGATTGGCCTGTGCTTCTCTCCCAGGTGGTCCCAGGTTCTTCCCTAGCCTCTGCTCTGCCACCCAACCCGACCACCCTGGGGCCCACAGATGTGCTCTCACACCAGGCAAAAGGGGTCCAGGGGGAGCACCTCTGTCACACACAGAGTGAACTCCAACAATGAACTCTCATGTCACCTCCTGACCCTCCAGCTCTGTGGAATGGTTTCCCTCACCTGCAACCCCAGATCCACCTGTGGAGGCTCCACAGGACACAGTAAGGAGACCTCCCTTGCTCCTGAGTGAATGAGATCTGGGGAGGGTGGAGCCAGGTTCAGCACTGAGAACTGTGTGGTTCCTGAGATCAGAGTTTGTGACCCTCATTAGCTATTTCATCTTTGTCCCCACACTGGATTCAGGGCTTGGAAGTTCCATCCATGGAGTCTGATCTCCAATGTTTTTTTCCCAAACTTAATCTGCAGCCCTTCCCAAGCCCATGCTCATTGTACATGTGTGCACACGCTCCCACACGCGCACACACTCCCATAAATATAACTGTGTACACGTGATGTAACTCCCCAGAAGTGCACACAATCTCTCGTTCTACACCTTCACAAACCCACACAGCACACGAGCCCACTCACACTCTTGCACATAAGAAACCGCACAGGCGCGCTTAGCTGAGGTGGGTCACACACACATGCACACACACAAGTCCAACACAGCCACCCAGAGGCAGTAAAGGACCCGGGTTTCTGGGTTTTTACCTCTAGAGGTGGTGGCCTTGATGCCTCCAGTGACTCTGCCTTTTCCTGAACTCCAGCTGCCCTTAAATAGCTGTTCCTTCTGCAAAGTGGGAGGTGGGGAAGCACGGAGGTGGGGGCTGGGGTGGGTGTGGCTATTCATGGACTCAAGGAATGGCACGCTCATGCTCCTTGGTAGTTCCCCTTTTTTCCCCATCAGTTGGCAAGACAGACTTGAGGACTGGAAAGTCCTTCCTGCTGTGCACCAATGCCCATTTAAATTTCAAGTGATTTAAAAGCTTTCTCATGGCTTAGCTCCTGTTTGGTTAAATTTCCATAACTAGTTCTGGGTGTGACCTCCAGTCAGTCACCTCCAGCCCCTTTCAAGGGTGGGCCAGGCCTCTGTGCTGTGGGCAGGCCCCTGTGCTGTGGATAGGAACATTTACTGGGTAGGAGTGCTTCTTTATTCTGCCACATGTAGCATTTGGGAGTAAGAAAGGTGGCATTTGGTGCTATTCATTCATCCATTTCACCAATCACTCATTCACAGGAACTTTGTACTACACTCTACAAACTTCAGGGCCCCTTGCAAACCTCTTGGGAGGCCATGAGCAATGTACCCGAGTCTTGCCTTGAGGACTGCACAGTTCAACCCAGCAGGGAAAGGGTTGAATGGGGCCATTGTCTCCATCTTCTTTTTCATCTTCTTGTTCCCCTCTCTCAACCTGTTTGAGTTTCTGAACCTGGTACAAGCCAGAGGCTGTCCTCAAATTCCACCCAACAGTTGCCTCCACGTCATTCCCATGCTCACCTGTTTGGAACCAGGCCCATTCCTGCTCCCTGGAGCCATTGCCCCCTTTTTCTTCAGCCTTCAGGGACACGGTGACTCCAGCTTTAATCCATAAAGTAAATATGTTTTTTTTCCTGCTCTCCAATTAGTGCTAAGAATTTGGCTTCCATGGCCATAAGGAAACAAGTTCAATGCCCCCGCAGCAGGAACCCAGGGCTCCTGAAATTTCCATCTGTGTGGCTCTCTCTAGCCCTCGCAGGTGTGCAGCCCCAGCTGGCTTCACACAGGAGCATCATGGGAAGGGTCACTTCCCAGCTGAGATGAGGGAAACCAGGGGCAACCCCTGGCCTTTCTGTGCCCCTCATGGAGGATCCTAAGGCAGAGTTGCCTGGGTCACTGAGTCATGGCCTGGAGAGCAGCAGTTCTGAATGTCCTGCCGCCCTCAGAGTCCTAGTGTGAGTAAGGTACAAACTTTTTTCGGATTAAGCTGATGATAGTTGAGACTCATAATTAATGCAACATTAGGAAGTTTATATTAAGAGTCATTCAGGAAGCTTTTCTCCTAAAAATGCAAATTTACTTCGGAGACAGATCAGAGGGACCCACCTCCCATGGGACACTGGGGCAGGAGTTAAGAAATGTTAAAGCAGTGTTAAATACTATTAAAGATCTTTTTTTTTTTTTTTTGGCGGTACTGGAGTTTGAACTCAGGGCCTCAGCTTGCTAGGCAGAACTTTACCACTTGAGCCATTCTGCCAGCCCTTTTTTGTGTTGGGTGTTTTTGAGATAGGATCTCTTAAAACTATTTGCCCAGCCTGGCTTCAAACTGCTATTCTCCTGATTTCTGCCTCCCAAGTAGCTAGGATGACAGGTGTGAGCCACCATCGCCCAACATCGTCCATCTGTGAACTCTTAATTAATGATAAACCTTTATTGTAAGCACCCCTTTTACTGTGACTTTTTCCTTTATGTAAACTAGGATTGACAGCTGCCAGACCCTTCCCCATGCCCTGGCTGCCTTGAATGAAGGACCATCAACCAAGTACCCGGCTAATAGCAGCAGCAGGTGCTTTGAACACTCCACAGACACCTTGAGGAACCCACATGACAACAAAAGCAGCTTGCTGCTGAAATGCACTTCAGACTCTTGAAGGCACTGTCCTAGCACACAGCCTGTGCCAGACTTTTTGCCCTCTGAAGCCTTGGCAAACTCTAGATGACTCTACAGTCATTTCCACTTGGTCAAGAGGGGCAGCACTTCTTCTGGTGCTCCAGCAGAAGGCCTGAGGCTGGTATAAACACAGTACTTTATTTATATAAAGGAGTGCCATCACTGGTGACCTGAGGGACTGTATCATGGCGGGTGCAGATACTCTTGCTACACCCCACTTTGTGGCTATATTAGGAGAATATGGCTCACTTTGTGAGTCAGTCAAGGAGACACCCTCCTCTGCTGTTCCCTGATGTCACAACATTAGGCCCCATAAAGGGTTCCCTGGGTGGTCTTTTCTTACCTCTTTCTGGGCTTTGTCATCAATAGAGTGTGCTAAGCTGGTAACATAAAAAAAGGAGAGAGGTGGCAGCAGAAAAAGAAGCTGCTTACCACATCCCTGGTGTCAGCAGTGTTAGTGGTGGCAGTGGCAAGGGTAGTGGCAACAGCAGAACCAGCACCAGCCAGCACAGACAGCCACCACCTTGGCAGGAGTAGTGACAGTGGCAGCCCCTGTGGCCATAGCAATGACAGTGGCAGCAAATGTAGTTGATGCCCAAGTAATAGCAGCAGTGACAGCAGCCAGGACAAAAACAACAGGGAGCTGTAGTGGCAGAAAAAATGAGGGCTGTCAGAAGTAGAGAGAAGGCAAGAGAGTGTGGAAAAGAACAAAGGCTGAAGAAAAACAGAGTTCGTGAAGAGCCAATGAAGAGACCTGTGGGTGCTGGTTGCTGGTAGGGTCCCAGGCAGCAGTAACACGAGCCACCACTGTCAAGGGCTGAGGATCCTGACATTCTAGGCCTAAGAGCTATAGCACTAAGGGTCCCAGCAGCCAGGGCCAGGATGACAGCTATAACACTACAGAGTGCTGCCTACTGCTGCTTGCTGTTCTCTGCCTCCATTGCTCAATACTGCCAGATGCCAGGGATTACAAAAACCACCAAGGGCCTGGGATTACTAGCACTAGAAGAGCTTTTCCTTCCCTACACAGGATTTCTATCTGAGTGGGGAAAAGGACCAAGACAGGTGATTAGGAACACTTCAAGCGGTAGACCTATGTTGAATTGTGTCCCCTTCTCCTAGCTATGTTTAAATTCTCGGAATGTGATCTCCTTCGTCCGTCATCTCATCCAAGCACTTGGACATCCTTGAATAAAACAAAATTTCCACTCTGCAGGACCTACACTTTAGTGGAGTCATAGGACGCAGATGGAATCCAGAATGTTCCATGGTAAACAAAGGCACAAAACTTCTCAACAAAATTCTCACAAGCCAAATCCAATAGCAGATCACAAAGATCATACCCTGTGATCAAGTGGGATCCATCCCAGGGATGCAAGGATTGTTTCACATTTTCAAATCGGTAAGTGAATACATCCCATCAACAGAATGAAAAACAAAGCATATGGTCATCTTAACCCAGGCAGAAAAAACATTCATAAAACTCAACATCCTTTCATGATAAAAACTCTCAACAAATTAGGTACGGAAGAAACACATCTTGTAATAATAAGCTATAATAATACATAATATATATATAAACAACCCACAGACCATATCTTACTGAATGGGGAAGAGCTGAAAGCATTTTCTCTTAGTTCTGGAAGAGGTCAAGAACATCCAGCTCTCACAACTTTTATTTAACATTGCCTTGTATGCCTTAGCAAGAGCAAGTACACAGAGAAAAAAAAAATAAAGTTCATCCTGATTAGGAAGGAAGCAAATTACCCATGTTTGCAGATTACATTATTTTATAGTTAGGAAAACCTAAATACTCCTCAAAAAGTTGTTAATATTTATAAATGAGTTCAATGAAGTTGCAGGATACAAAATTAATATGTGTGGCATTTGTTCAATGAACTTGTTGAAAAAGAAATGAAGAAAGCAATCCATTTACAATAGCTACAAAGAATGGGAATAAATTTAACCAAGAACATGAAAGTTCTCTACAATGAAAAATTTAAACACAGAGGAAAGAAGCTATAGAAGATACAAATTGGGAAGATATCCATATTCATGGATCAGAAGAAATAATAGTTTTAAATGAGAAATGCTCCCCCAAGTGATCTACAGATTCAATGCAATCTCCATCAAAATACCAATGACTTTCTTCAAAGAAACAGAAAAAAACCCTAAAATTCTTATGGAACCACAGAAGACCCAGTATAGCCAAAGCAATCCCCAGAGGGAAAACAAAGCAAACACAATAAAAATACTAGCCAAACAACAATAAAACCCCAAATAGGCAACACCATAG